TTCCTTACTCCCTTTCTGGTTGTTTAGGCAAGCTTGCTTACTGGCAGTCAGTGTGAAGTTACTCTGTGAGGATATATAGTAAACCCAGGGCATCAACATTTACACAGAGCCTCTCATATCGGGAGGATGTCCCAAGGTGCTGGACAGTCAGGAATTTGGACCTGACCTGGCAGTTGGGATCAGGAGGAGTGGAGGGCAGGTGGGGATAGGAGGGTGACCGAAGGCGCAATCGAAGAGGAGGGTCTTGAGACGGGCCTTGAAGGAGGCAAGGGAGGGGGCAATGTGAAGGCACCGTTGAAGTTCCAACGGGGGGGAGAGACAGGCTCTGAAGGCCCAACCGCCACTGGTGGGGTGTCCAGGCAGGGGAAGTGGAGAAGGCTGTAGCTCGGGTAGAGAACGGGTCATTATGGTGCCAATACTGGTGCCAAATATACCCAAGTCAAAAAGCTGTGCTGCATTAAATACAATACACTAATAGTGTGTTATAACCTCTGGATGCTGTTTTGTTATGACTTGTGTTCTGGTACTGCTAAAGAGCCCAGGAACATTGAGGTTCCCGGCTTGCAGGGATCCTTATTATAAATGTACTACTAAAAATCCTCCAAGCAAAGTCTTCTATTCACTAGCCAACTGCGAAAGAACAACTGAATAGTCTTGTAATTTACTGTATACCAATTCCTACTACGAGTGCAAGTTCAGCCCACGCTACATATTTTTAACATCTCATTCTTAGTAGTTTGACCTTTTTAATCGTCAGCCTCAGTTATCTAATAGAATAGTTCTACATGGAGCAATTATAATATAACAATAATAATCCTTGTATTTGATATAGCGCCTTATCATGTCTTCGAGACTCTCAAAGCGCTTCACAGAATATACTGTAGAGTGAAGTGACTATATTTTATCGATGAAACATGGTAGCCAATTGCGCACAGCAGCGTCCCACAAACAATCCTGGATTGAGTGACCAAGTTATTATTATTGTTATTTTTGAAGGAATTGATACCCCCAGAAAAGCAATCCGACAATTGGCTAACAACCGGGTTCCAGGTTCCTTTCTACTAGAGATTGAACCACATCCAATGAAAGGCGTATGGAGTAAGGAACTTGCCTGCCGGTAATCAAAACTAGGCCTCATTATATATATATATATATATATATAGTGGAGTCCTGTAGCTCAGTGGTTAGAGCACTCGCTTTGCAAGTGAGAGACCCAAGTTCAATTCCAGACAGGGCGAAACCTTGGGCAAGTTTCCTTACTCCACACAGAGCCTAATAATAATCCCTCCAAAACCAAACACAATAATAAATTGGTCATTTTTAATCTACGACTGTTTGTGGGACATTGCTGTGCGCAATTGGCTGCCGCGTTCGCCCACAAATATAGTCAATTTACTTTACAGTGTGTTCTGTGAAGCGCTTTGGGACATCCTCCCGACGTGAAAAGCGCTATATCAAATGCAAGGATTATTATTGTTATATAGATATATATATATATAATTTTTTTTTTTAATTATCTTTGTCCAGAGTATTTCGTTTTTTTTGCTGGACTAATCTGCTTTTAAACCATTTTTCTGTGTGAGCAATTGAGTGGGGGAAAAGGTTCCTGTGCTCCCATGCTGTAGGCCACTGTATGGGAAACACAACACAACTGTATGGTTGTGTTGTGCTCTTCCAGAGGGTAGCATAATCTGAACTAGAGATTGAACCACATCCGATGAGAGGTTATTTTTATATGAAAGGATAGGATGTGGAATATATTATCACAAGAAGCCAGGGGAATTATGTAATTTTGAAGGAAATTTGGATAAAGGCTTGAATAAAAATAAAAGGGTTTGGGGAAATAGCAGGGGTGGGATAAAAGGAAATAGCCCCATTACAGCCACTAAGGGCAGAAGGAGTGACTATTTTGTAGGCGAGCATGGCAACTAATTTATGCACAGCAAACACACATGGTGTGAATGACTAACTTTATCTGGGGGATTGTTGGCTAGGAAACGGGGAGAACCTTCCTTTTCTTTGTCAATAATGTCATAGGATCGTTATTGTTCACCTGAACAGGAAGACATCTTAAGACATTTTAGTTTTAATGTTGTTATTATATCTGAAGAACGACACCTCAACACTGCAGTGCACCTGCAATAATGCAGCTCTCCCCAGCAGAGCACTGGAGTGTCACCTAGAATTAGCTCAAAGTCCTGTAAGGGGTTTTGACCCCACAACGTTCTGACTCGGAGGTGAGAGTGCACTCCATCTCTCATACACTCTCTGCCTCCGCTCACACAATGCACAAGATTCAGATAATTCAAAACTCTGCCGTCTATAACTCTGCACACCAATAACCTCTACCCTGGTATGCAAACCCCTCTATTCCCTGCACCACCCTCTCTGATTTGCTCTCACTCCACTCCTCTACTCACCCCTTTACTCAGCTAACATAGGGCTGCTGCGAGTCCCCTGACCCCATTGGTGACAGAGTGAAGTCACTATATCTCTCCTGTCTGAAAGTCCCTGCCTCTCTATCTCCACTTTGCCTTTTTTCTATCTATTGTTAAATTCTACCTCTTCGATTGCATCAATGGTCACCTTCCATCTCCCCTATTTCCCTTACTTTATAACCACTGAGAAGTGCTCGAACATGTTCTCTATGTGAAAGGTGCTATAACAACAACTTGGATTTATATAGCGTCCCCCACGCCAGATGGCGTCTCAGAGCGCTTTACAGTAACGGATCCCGGGACCGAGCCAGGGGGAGGGGGAGGAAGGTGCCCAAAGGCGCGGTCGAAAAGAAAGGTCTTCAGCAGCGACCTGAAATGGGAAGGGAGGGAGCGAGGCAAAGGGAGTTCCAGAGCCTCGGGGCATAGTGGCTGAAGGTACGGCCGCTGAGGGTGGAGCGGAGGACTCGGCGGACAAGCAGGAGGCCAGACCCGGAGGAATGAAGGCAACGGGTACTGTTTTGAGGAGAGAGGTCAGAGAGGTAGGGGGGTGCAGAGGAGTGCAGGGATCTTGAAATCGATCCTCTCTGGGATAGGCAGCCGGTGCAGTCTGGCCAGGACTGGGGGATCGGGGAGTGGAGTTTTGTGCGGGTGAGAATGTGGGCGGCAGAGTTTTGAATGATTTGGATTTTATGGATGGTAGTGGATGGGAGACCGTCGAGGAGGGCGTTAGAGTAGTCCAGCCGAGAGATGACAAAGGCATTGACCAGGGTTTCAGCGGCTTTTGGGGAGAGGTATTGGCGGAGACGGGCGATGTGTCGGAGGTGGAAGAAAGCGGTGCTGGTGAGGGACCGGATGTGGGGGAGGAAGGATAATTGGGGGTCAACCTGACGCCTAGGTTGCGTATGGGTTCGGAGAGTTTTAGGGGGAGGTCGGGTAGGTGGAGGAGCTGTGAGATTTTAGACGTTGACGAGAGCCAAAGAGTATGGCTTCCGTCTTGTAGTTTGAGTTTGCACTCATCCAACCCCTGAGATCTGACAGGCAGGCTGAGGTGGAAAAATAGAGTTGGGTGTCGTCCGCGTAAATGTGGAAATGTACCCCATGTCTGCGGATGACATCCCCAAGAGGGAGCATGTAGATCAGAAAGAGGAGGGGGCCAAGGATGGATCCTTGGGGTATCCCGCAGGTAACCGGGGCAGTGGGAGGAGAAGCCGTTTGTGCAGGTGTTCTGCTGGCGGTTTGTGAGGTAGGGCTCGAACCAGGCGAATCAATGCTGCTCTTCCTGCAATCCAAGGAATTCAGTGTCCCTCACCTAGGCCAGATTAAGTTTTTCATGGGACTAGGATGGTTTTAAGACAATCTTGGATGTTTCTAAAACATCTTCTGCAGCTGTTTTATAGAATGCAGAAAATTATACTAATGCAGGATGGCTTTGACTCTTCTAGGTTCATTCTGGGTGGCATTCGCAGTACACAGAGATTACAAATTACTTTATATTTAGTTTCTGCTCATTATACACAAGCTGACGAATGTGTAACATTTTTGCAGGTTCACTGAGCAACCAGCAGCTCTGGGTTTCATTGCACCAGTCTCCATTCTGTGTGGGATTCAGGGTTCTTGCTTTTGACTGGACTGATCTTTGCATCAGATGTTACTGTAAAATCCACATTGACCGTTGCAACTTGTAAGCAGATAATGTGTATTCTCACCGTGTGCTTACTGCAGGGTCACTGGAATGTGAGCAAGAATAGGAAGCCTCTCTCTTTTCCCTTTTTCCCACCCTCTCCATCCTGTTGTAGACACTGAGGACAATTGCTGTTGCCTTTGACTGACTCTGTCATTAATCTCATTGTTTGTAGGATCTTCTTAGCACAAATAATCTGCTGTTTCTTTCTACAGAAGTAGTCACATCATCTGTAAAGCGCTTAGAAGTTTTGACATAAGGTGCTATAAAAATGCAAGTTCTTTTTCACTGCAGATTGGACATCAAACTTAGGATCTTGCTGTTGAATATCATACCACGTGGGGTATTAATCCACTGAGAGATCAGAAAGTCATTGATGATTTAAAAGCACAATTCATCATCTCGAGCAGTATGGACACGGTACATCCAGCCTTAGTCTCTTTATGTGTGATAGCTGCTGCTCAGCACCACAACTGCACTCTGTCTGAAGTTAGGAAAATGTTTCAACCTTGTTTTTTGTTTGTATGGTTGTATGTATAGAAGCACTTTGAAACATCTAGAAGATGTGATAAGGCACTATATCAAATGTAAGGATTATTATATATTCCATATGGTCCACTGTTTATGGGGAACTGTGGAGAAGGTTAGTGGCAACTCTGTAGGGAACAGTAGGAAGCAGGAAGATAAAGAGTGAGAAATGCAGCTTGAATTTACCAGCCACCTGATGGAGGCACATGGAGCAAGGGGGGAGTGAGGTGGATTTTACAGATTATAATTTCTAAAAGTCCTAATGAATTGTTGAAATCAGTTGAAATATTCTGATTCTCATTGTGCCCTTTCATTTTGCTTTGTTTTAACAACCACTTTCTCTATGTTTACAGGTTTATATTATTCAAGTAAACTGGTCGGATAATGACTCCAATATCATCTACAGACGGTACAGCAAGTTTTTCGACCTGCAGGTAATGTGCTGCCTTATTGTGTTCCGTACAATTACTGCCGTTTCACTGCAACGCATTTGTGAATTACTTTAAATTCTGCACTGAGACGGATAATGACTGCCTTTCAGTCCGTCTGTTTGAGCTCCTGTCAAATTGCTCCTGGGCATTGAGCTCCAGCCAGAATTGTGGCATTGCTGTAGGTATTGACAAACAAGCCTGCCGTTTATAGAGATGAAAGAGCAGCTTGGATATTCCTGCGCCATAGGTTGTGATCTTGGTGTTTGGAATCTCGGAATCAGCAGACTCCTCATTTGCATTATCTGAATGGAAAGTGGGTCAGGAGCAGCCCTGGGGTGGCTGGATAGGCAGGGACTTGATCTAGACACAATACAATTGGCTCAGTGGCCCCTGTGATCCTGATCTAGACACCTCCCACTGCAAGGTCAGGGTTTATATGTGCACATTCGGGTAAAGACAAAATCTGGCTTTTTATTACTCTGCTGATATTCATCATTCAGGCTCAGAATTAATATTCGCCACTAGGTTAAGAAACCAGTGACGTACTCTGTACAAAGGAGAAGGGGGTAAAATGAGTGTGGGGGAACAGACCTTTTCTCAGAATCCAGTACAGTGGCAGTAGTACTGAATATTCAGAAATGATTGTTGCTGAAATCTGGAACTGATTATTTCTGTGCCGTGAACTAACAATATGTCAACTCCGTTCCTCCATCGATAATAGCTTTAATTTGTTTAAATTTACTGTTAGATCATCAACAACAAAATTATATTTGTATAGCACTTTTCATGTCAGGAGGACATCTCAAGGCGCTGGATAGACAGTATTTCGGACCCGAGCTGGGGGTTGAGATTGGGGAGGGTGGAGGGCGGGGGGAAGGAGGTTGATCAAAAGCACGGTCGAAGAGGAGGGCCTTTAGGTGGGTCTTGAAGGAAGCAAGGGATGGGGCGAGGCAGAGCGACTGCAGGATGGAGTTCCAGAGGGTGGGAGCAGAGTGGCTGAAGGCCCGCCCACCAGTGGTGGGGCGGGCGAGGCACGGGACGTGAAGCAGTCCGGAGCCGGCTGAGCAGAGGGAGTGAACAGGAGGTAGGGGGTTAGCAGGTTGCAGAGGTAGGGGGGAGCAAGGTCATGGAGTGCTTTGAAGGTGAGGACCAGGATCTTGAACTTTATCCTCTGTGTGATGGAAAGCCAGTGGAATTGGGCAAGAATGGGGGTGATAGGTTCATGGAGCCTAGTGCGGGAGAGCACACGGGCTGCAGAGTTCTGGATGATCTACAGCCTGTGGAGAGAAGCTGACCAGCAAGGAATTTGCATAGTCAAGCCTGGATGTTATGAATGCGCGTAAGAGTTTCGGTGGCCTGCGATATGAGACAGTGGTGGAGCCAGACAATGTTGTGGAGGTGAGGGAAGGCAGAATAGGTGGGGTAGAAAGGATAGTTGAGGGTCAAATAAGACGCTAAGGTTCCGGACTGGCTTAGTGAGATGGAGTGTGCATCCTTGGATGGTGATTCTGTCAGTGCCTGAGGTATGGAGGTGCTGACGGAACCCAATCAGGAGGGCCTTCGTCTTGTTGACGTTCAACTGAAGAAAGTTAGCTTTCATCTGACAGACATTCTGTCAAGACAGCAGTGGTCCTGGAGTCGAGGGCGGAGGCAGAGAGGTAGAGTTGGGTGTCATCTGCATGCATGTGGAAGTTGAACCCATGTCTGCGGATGATATCTCCAAGAGGGAGCACATAGATGTTGAAGAGGAGGGGACTAAGGACAGAGCCCTGAGGAACACAGCACGAGACAGTGCGGGGACTAGAGGAGAAAGCGTCTGTGGAGATGAAGTGCAGGCGGTGTGAGAGGTGGAACTGAACCAGTCAAGGACAGAGCTGTGATGGTTGAGGTGAGAGGCGAGGCAGTGGATGAGGATAGAGTGATCATCGGCGTCGAAGGCAGCAGAGAGGTCAAGGAGGACGAGGAGGCAGAGGGAACCCTGGTCGTAGATGGACAGAATGTCATTTGTCACGTTGACCAGAGCTGTTTGTTTACTGTCGGCGGCACTGAAACCCGATTGGAGGGGTTCGTGAAGGGAATAGCGAGAGAGGAAGGAGCAAAGCTGGGAACCAACAACTCATTCTACTAATTTGCACAGTAGGAATTTTTGACCAGCGACTGACTCCAGGTACTGGTGGGAGTGAAGCTGCAGGTTAGCATGTGCTTGTGTGGCTGCTCAGCCTCTGCCAAAACATCCTGAAGCAGCTGAATGCTGAAAGCTGTGACTTAGATTTAGTTTTTATATCAAAACATTATAAAAGAAATGCAGGTAAAATATTTTGTAAGTGCCACAGATAATGACAATCTTAACTAGGAAAAATATGTCTGGGAGTTCCTGGCCTGGTTGGTAGAGTTGAAATGTCTCGGCTTCTCATGATTTGTGGTAGAGAAAAAGCAGGCACTGTACTCACAGGAAATGATCCTGAAGGCAAAGTAACTGAACTCTGAAAGCTTCTTTTGATCTGAGGGGCCTAACTAGAGTAGAAAGGTAGCAATTCTTAGCCCAAAGCTGCCCTGTTTATCACCATCAGCAAGCAGTATGATACAGGACTACAGAGCTTGTGTGTATGGGTGGATTGGATGCAACTGTAAGGCTTGCTGTTTAACTCTCATTCTGCTGAATATTCACTGTGTAATTTGTTTAGAGTTGCTGTTTGTTCATTGGGATGGGGATGACTGGTGTAACTGCAGGGTTGTTGTTTATACAACAGGATGAAGATTATTCTCATTTCTGTTAGAAAATAATATCTGGGGATACAGTATATAGTTTGGGACCCAACATGTCAAGCGACTGCCAGGATGGACCTTGGTCTTCTTTCGCCAAGTAAATTCTTATGTACTCACTGTGTAACTGTCCATTTGCTGTTTTATCAGCAGGGTGAGCGACACTCACTGTAACTGCCAAATCCTTGTTCAATCAGTGGGGTGAGAATTACTTGCTGTATAACTAACTATACATAGCCACTGTAGTGTGTGTGTGGCGGGGGGGGGGGGGGGCAGGGGGTGCTCATTGTGTAACGGTTCATTCAGTGGGGTGGAAGTGGCGTGTTGTGTGAAGTTGGTACAATACAGCTTTGTGTGGAGTATAATGCACTTCTTCACAGAGGCTTTTATGTAAGTTCGCAGTTTAAGAAGAATTTGAAGTAGTGCGCAGCAATTGTAACAATACTCTTGTGTTATGGTCATATTGTACAGTTTTTTCTGTACCCTGCCACTATCTGTGCTTTGTTTCTCTAGTTCCCTAGAGGAAGTGACCAGGGAATGAAATGTCTATGGATACCATATTGTGTTTTCTGCATTGTTCAATGTTTTTTTCAGTAGCTGTGCAGATAATGCTTGGTGTGTTACCATTGGATAATGTGTTTTGGTATATAATTTTCTCTGGTGCTGCTGTCGTAACTAGACTGCATTAAAGAGCTGTATCTGTGATGGAAGCAGCTCAGTTTGTATTGATAAATTTTTACTCTCTGAATAATTCCTACAAAATATCTGCATTGAGAACTACCACAGGAATTCTTTGACAATCGCTGCTTTTCTGTTGTGATGGAACACTGTATTGACAAGCAGCAAATCACAGCTGTTGGTAGGGGAAGCACCATTACAAACCAACACATGACACAGTCACACTTGGTGATTGTTGTGCACGATTGAAAGCCACAGGTTATGGGCAGATTGAGAAATGGATTTGAAACTGGTTGAAGCAGGAGATATGGCAACCAGCTATCTCAATGTAGAAGGAGATGACACAGGCATCACTATTGATTAATATTGTACACAAATGATTTGGAAATGAGGACTTAAAGAAAGTTGCTGATAATACCAGGTGGGAAGAGAGACTACAAATAATGGAATACTTTCTATTCCATTGTATGGGTTTGACTGCAGAGCCTTCTCCCGGACAGTGCATTGCAGCTGTTAGGTTCTACATCCGTTGCTATGTTCTGTTTCATTCTATGAAGCCTTGGTCACAATTATAAAATTTGATCATTGAGATTTATTATTAGCATGGTATCTCTGAGTAGAAATAAACCTTGCATGGTTGGAGACTTCATTCATCAACTGCTACTCTGTGTAGGCAGCGAAGGAGCTGGATTCTTGCAGCTGGTCAGAGACTGGTTGATAGCAGAGAGAAGCTCAAAACCACAAGGCGTTTGACAGATATTCCTTCTCTGAACACTGAACTGCAAGTACTGCACACGTTCTAAACAGAATAGAATGTCTAGTGGGGTCAGCCGGCTCAGACAGGAGAAGCTTTTTAGAAATGATACAGGAGAAGTTGAGTTCCATTCATGTTCTATTTAAATTAGACCCAAATTCCTCATTACTTAAATTGCAGGAACCAGGAAACCTCTTCTCTGCACTTCTGAGGAACAAATCTATTCAGGATTATTATAATGCTCCAGATTAGATCTGAACAATCCCTTATAGAGCAGCAAAACAAACATTGATTTTGATTTGTTTTCTTATCCTTCTGTTAATTCAACCCAGCACCCAGATTGGAGATTGCGTATGGGAGGGAGAGTGTCTGTTTGTCTGGATTGTAGTTAAAAAGCAGGGTTTGATAAGGTACCTTTTGTACAGCAATCTGGTCTGCATTGAGCAATGTGGAGTCCTGCAGTTCAGTGGTTGGAGCACTTGCCTCGCGAGCGAGAGACCTGGGTTTGATTCCCAGGAGGTCGAAACCTTGGGCAGGTTTCCTTACTCCACACGCCTGATAATAATTCCTCAAGAAAAAAATAATAAAATTGGTCACTTCCTTCCACGACTGTTTGTAGAACACTGTTGTGCGCAATTGGCTGTCGTGTTTCGCCCACAAATATACAGTCAATTCACTTTACAGTATATTCTGTGAAGCGCTTTGAGGTGTCTCGAAGACGTGAAAAGCGCTATATCAGATGCAAGGATTATTATTATTGTTATATATATAATGTGGGTAAATTGTGTGAGATGCTGTGCTCTATATC